TATTGGGGAAATTACATATTATCTCCTGTGTGACTCTGATCGTCTCCAATGTCCTACGTCGATACACTATTTTCATCGGTCATATGTATTAGATGCGGGTTGGACATGACTGGATTTGAGCCAAAGTGATGATCTGTTAGGAGTGTCTCGCATTTATTTGATTCAAGTTCAGTCTGATCTGGTTGGTGTATGGAATAAGATTTTAGTCCCCATTATTGGAATAACAATTAGATGAATATATAATTAAAGGATTTAGTCTTTTTGAGCCATCTTTCGTGAACCTTTGCAACACAACGAAGGAAAGGATCAAACTAATAAGTTCGATATTTTGCAATTGACCCCCAAATTTCTAGAACCTTCGCTAAACCCCCAATACGTATGGGAATTCCATAAAACCCTCAAAATGTGGTTTCTCATCACTTGTAAGGTCTTCTCTCCTTCCCCAAGTCCCATCAACAGCATGGCCACATAATTTGGAGGATATGATATCCCCCAACTTCAGTTCATCTTGCAGTCAAGATCTTGCTATTATCTGGAAGGTTTTGCTCCCGTGTCTCTGTTGGTGCATATGGAACTGTCGTAACAATTTCATCTTTAATGGCACTGAAGCTCTCCCATCCCATATTGCTGCTAACGTGGCAAGATTTGTTTTATTTTGGACAGGCTCCTCTGCTAGCAGGTCAGGTCCCAAGCTCCACAAGGCGGCTATCAACTTGGGCATGAAAAATATTGCCCAAACACATAATGAAGCAGAGGTGGATGACAACTTCTCAGCAGCAACCTGATTCCCAGAGCTGCAGTCCCAACTCATCTTTGTTGGATTTTTTGGTAGTGTTCCAAATGTTAGCTGTATCTGGGGTTCCCAGTCAAGCTTTTGGTGGATATTCTGGTTAGATGTTAAAGTGTCAGTAGTATGAAGTTGATCTTTGTGGTTTTTACATTCGTTTTGTGCTGTTCTGTGGGTCATTGTTTGGGGTATTGGTTCTTCCCAGTTTCTTAACATAGGCCTTTTATGTACATAAACATTATTATCTTTATATAAATATATATATGCAGGGCACCTCACCCTGTTTTCAGTCAAAAAAAAACCCTCAAAATGTTTTGATTTCTTTTTCACTTAAACCCCAATAACTACTACTTGATGATGTTTATGTGGTATTCACTGTTTGGAAATTCCCAATCCGGGCTGACGCCATTATGGGGGTTGCGTTAAAAAAAATGTTTAGCGCTTTTGGAATTCTCAAAGTTGTTGGGAGATTTTATCAAATATTGACTCTGATGCAGATATTTTGATTGTAAAGGCCATTGCAGGGAATGGATTGGATTATGTTGATTTGCAAAACCTTCAAAGATCAATCAAACGGGTTTCATGATCACTCTACTCTCTCATTTGCTACAACTAGGGGTGCTAAACAGTATCCGTATCCGATGAAATATCCGTAACCGTATCCGTTAGGATACGAATATGGTTACTCAAATCTATAACCGATAGGATATGGTTATGGATATGGTTTTGTAGTGAAATATCCGTATCCGTATCCGAAATATCCGAATACATATTAGTCATACTCTTACGATAGTTTCGATTCTTAGATTATGGATTTGTGGTTAATTTTGATGATCAAGATGACTAATCTTAACTATTTAGTTATAATGGACATATTAACGAACTTTTTTGTATCACATGAACTATATTTTTCTCAATACTATCTAGTTTTCTCATATCTGTTTTGTATCCGCATGCATATCCGCTTATATATCCGCATGTATATCCGTAACCGTATCCGATTTTAGCGGATATGGTTATAAGTTTTTCTTACCGAGGTATATCCGTATCCGTATCCGTATCCGAGATGGGTAAGCGGATATGGATATGGTAAGCATCATATCCGAGCCGTATCCGGACCGAATGCACCCCTACACACAATTCAAATAATCTCACGTTAACCACATGATTTCAGGCTCATGATAGGTGATGAAAATTGTGAAAACACACACACACACACAGTCAAATAATCTCACGTTAATCACATGATTTCAGGCTCATGATAGGTGATGAAAATTGTGAGAAGAATATCATCTTTCGATTGACCTTTCTTTTTGTGTGTTTTCTTGTTTTAAATTTATTACAAGAAACCAATTTCAGGGTCTATGAAATTTTACTTTACACTGAAGGTGGCTGATCCTTGCAATTTTAATTAATTTTAATTGCATGGAGATGTCCTAGCTGACGAGAGATTGGTTCTTGAAACAAGGCTATCACGAGGTGTCACATTCTGAATTTGCTTAAATTAACTTTTTTTTAACTTGAATATTCAACGGTCTCAGTGCAAATTTGTGTGGATTACTTATTGCTCAGTATTTGCCTTTGTGAGGCTTAAATTTATTAATTGCGTGTATCATCATGCTGATGTACAAGAATATGGTTTTAGAGCTCTATAGTTATTTTTATAAGCAAGACTATTATTAAAAAAAAAATCCGTGCAAAGTAAGGGCATAACACTCGTTATATTGATTCTTAAATGGTGCCACTACTTGCTATAAAAAAAAGAAAAAGAAAATATGACGCTATTTAAATATATCGGTTCCTCTCTGGCTCTAGCCAATATAGCTATCACACACTTTGCAACATAAATTTAAATGGACTTATTACAATTTTAGCCAAAAGCACTTTTCTTCACAAATTATGAATATGTGAGGTGGTTAATATATTGTGTTCTAACATTTTCGAAGGGGGTGAAGGACCTTTTTGTTCAATAATTGTTAGTATTTTTTCTATTTTTGATAAAGTTAAAAGTGGTATTAACATAATTAATCTCCTTAAGTCCTTATTATCTGCCAAACACGAAAAAGTTAAATCATTCATCTTAACTATCTAATCTAAATAAAATTTTAAAATTTAAGCATTTTTTAACCTATTGTAATGGGGTAAGTAATTTAATCCTTCTCTTTAACATTCCTCCTTTAATCCCTTGCCAATTCACGGCATTAAAATTAAAATGACAACTAATTTCAGAAAATTTCAAAAATTGTAAATACCCACTGAAAGTTATATAAATTTCAGAAAACTGTAATAACTATAAATTTGCCAAAAACCCTAAAAGTTTTATAAATTACAAATAATCCCATGAAATTATTACGACCCCTAGATTTTTCAAAATTTGCAAATGATCCAATGAAATTTTTTCAAAAAAAAACTAGAAGTTTCAAAAATTGCAAATATTCCATGAAAATTTTGCAAATGATCTCTTGAAAAACTTAAAATTTGCAAATAACCCCCTAAAGTTTTTGCAAACAACCCTTGAAAATTTGTGAGTTAACTGCAATAGTGACGTTGAACTTTATGAGGGGTATTTTGAGAAGGAGTATGAGACTTTTCTCTGACTAATGAGTTGGCATTGTATAAAGGACCTAAACACACACACAATATTCATTTTTGTTGCTTGGTCACATGTCCAAAAAGATAGAGGGGCTTAGACACGTGAGGTTCTTGGAAAAAAGGGGCTAAGCATATTTTTTGCTAACTTTAATTATAATACGTTAGGGTTTTTTTGGTTGTAATCTATTTACTCTGATTATAAAGAGCATTTAGGTGAGGAAAAAAAATCTTTCTCAAAATTGTATTATAGTATAAGTAAAGATTGAAATTAGGAAAAGAAAAACCTCCCTTCAAAGAATGAAAAGAAAGTAACATAATCAAAGGCTAAATAACACTTAAATACCCTATTGTTTCACCACTTTTACACTTAAATACCCTAAGTTGTAAAAAGTAGTACATAAATACCCTAAGTTGTCCACCATTAGAATTTTGTAAATGTTGTTTAAAAATCTATTATGACAAAAATACCCTTGCATAGAAAGAAATATAAAATTTAATCAAAAAATGGAGAGTAGGTATAATGGTAAATATGACAATAAGTAGGGTCAATACAGTTATAAAAATGCCATGTGCTAATTATTAAGTTTAGAAAGGTGGAAAGGTGGAAAAGTTCCGCTCCTTTTAGGCTCTGTTTGGCAAAACTAGCTGAAAGCTACGAGATTATAGCTGAAAGCTGTTAAGCTAGCTGAAAGCTGTGAAATTATAGCTGTTAGCTGTGTAGCTAGCTGATTGACTAGAGCTGTTTGGCAAAAGCAGCTGTACAACTAGCTTAAATTTGTTAAATGACTATAAAGGACATGCAATATTATTAATATAAAATTAGAATTATTAGGGGCAAAAACAGAAGAAAAAATTTGGTAGCTCATTCCCAAAGACAAACGCTACTTGAGGTAGCTTTCCAAAAACTACTTGCAAAAGACACAATCTCCTAAATAATCTCCTCCTATTTTTTGTCACCAAGGGCTCTGTTTGGCAAAACTAGCTGAAAGCTGCGAGATTATAGCTGAAAGCTGTTAAGCTAGCTGAAAGCTGTGAAATTGTAGCTGAAAGCTGTTAGTTGTGTAGCTAGCTGATTGACTAGAGCTGTTTGGCAAAAGTAGCTGTACAACTAGCTTAAATTTGTTAAATGACTATAAAGGACATGCAATATTATTGATATAAAATTAGAATTATTAGGGGTAAAAACGGAAGAAAAAAATTGGCAGCTCCTTCCCAAAGACAAACGCTACTTGAGGTAGTTTTCCAAAAGCTACTTGCAAAAGACACAATCTCCTAAATAATCTCCTCCTATTTTTGGTCACCAAACAGCTCTACTAGCTTATTGACCAAGTCAATAAGACACAAGCTCTTAAATAAGACATTTTTTTTTGTTGCCAAACAGTGCCCAAACAACTCTACTAGCTTATTGATCAAGTCAATAAGACACAAGTTCTTAGATAAGACACTTTTTTTTGTTACCAAACAGTGCCTTACTCATCTCCCACACACGATGTACGTGACTCCTAAATTATGATGTACGTGACACCTAAATTTAAGCTAAAATCTTATATCATTATTCGGCTTAAAAGATCACAGCATTTTGTTTGGAAGGTGGAAAAGTTCTCCCCACTTTACTCGTTTCCGAAACACGTAGTACGTGACTCCTCCCAAAATATTATTAAATAATAAATACCCCTCTCCCTCTCCCTGCCTTCTCTGCTCTCTCGCCCTTCTCCTCCTCATTTTTCTTTCCCCTCACCATAATCGATCTCATTTCTCTATTACAACATTTCTCCACACAGAATCACCTCGTCTCTGTCCCAATTGGGGTCCCACTTCGCGACCGGAGTCTCAGAAACGGAGTCGGAGCCCTAACCCGCACCCGAGTTCCAGAAACTTCCGGCAATGCAGGTAAAGTTTCAAGATCAAATCTCCACTCTCCCGCCTCCTATATAAATCACCATCTCCCGAGTTCCCTTTTTCTATTCATTTTACCCCCCAAAAATTCTTCAAAATGTAAGGGGGGAAAAGAGTAAATTTCTGTAATTTTCCGCGAATTTCACGAAGCTAACGAATCGATTTAGTGTTTTTAGCTCGATCGTCGCAGGAACGATGGAAACTGTTCTTGCTTCCATGACGATCGTTCAGAAGCGGAAGCTGGTTTTTGCAATTTGGGGGTAGTTTTAAGTCCTCTTTTCAAGAAATCTGGCTCGTGATTTTTCTTTGGTACCTTTCTTTCTTTATTTCATGATTTCTCAAGGAAATTCTTAGTGATGATCATACTGTGCCGATTCTTGGTTATTGACTTTTAAGAAATCATCGTGTTTTTTTAATTAAGAGTAATGTGTTGATCTTGATTCATATCATTCTACTTTAAGATCTAGTATTTACTGATTTAATTAGAAAATCATATATTTGGTCTCAATTCTCGGATATTTTAATTCAAGAATCTTCTCTTGATTTAATTAAGACATCATACTGGAAAATGCAATTGTTTCTAGCTTGCCAGAAATCATGCCCACACAAGAACAAGGTGCAACCCTCTTGATCTATCTGCCATTATTCAGTTTAGAAACATGTTAACAACATTAGATTTTATTAAAATGCTGTGATCTTTTAAGCTTGAAACATCACATTTTGAGATAAACAAAACAAGTTTTTAGCGAGTTTGAGAGAAAAATATCCAAGTCCTATTTTACAGGGTTCAATCTAGTGGCTATGTCTGAATTTATCCCAAGTCTGAAACCTTGTAACTATGAAGCCCTTCACAAATTTCTCAACCTATACAAAGTGGTCCCTCTCTGGGAAGACATGATAAAAGATCAAAATGGCATCAATTCCTACATTAAATTGAGGAAACAAAGTCACCAATAACAAAGTAATTCTTCAAATGCATATATATGAGGCCGAAAAACCAAGATAAATCACCTGAATATAACACTTCTTCTAATCATATTATTGTGGCTTCCCCCATTGGTTTTGCGTATTCTAAAATAAAGATAAGTGTATTAATTCTTCGAATATCTGATGAAATTTGGGGAATGCTAATATCCCTTAAAATCTAATGTTAACAATTTTATTTAAAAAGTAAGAAATCTAACTTCCACAGGTTATCATTTGAGAAATGAAAATGTTACATCAAACGTTTTGACAGACGTAAGACATCAGCTATGTTGCAAGGGGTATGGGTACGGATACGGTGCAAATATGGATGTGGTATGGGACACGACAGATTTGCAAAAGAAAGGGTACAAAGACACGGCTATGTAAATATTTACACACACACACATATAATTTTGCAATTAATAGTTTATATGAGATAAATATTCTTTTATTCACGTGTTACTAGAATTAAAAGTCTTATAACATTTCTATGTTTCTTCAACTATGTCGGTCATAGGTTGCAACAACCACTTTTTTTAACTAGACACCCAAATAATCATTAAGATCATAGTTTGGAACCAATGAGCTTCAAAAAGTGAATGTGAAGCGTAGGATTTATAACCAGTAAATGATTAACAAGTGTTCACGTATCATTTAATTGAGTACATGCCCAAATAAATGTATGCATATATGCAAGGAGTGTCCAAGGAGTTTGGCTGTGGGTACGGGTACGGGTACATGTACATGTCAGAACGGGTATGGCTTCAAGATAGAAGTACCCGGGTAGCACAGGCCATCAGTAACAGCCTAAATTTTTTGAAAATGCAATTTTCTTTCTTATAATCATGTGCTCATCGGAGGTCAAAAAGTTCATATACCAATGGAGTAAAGAGTATATGATGAAAACCTGCAAACAAAGGAAATAAAACTTATAACCAAACTTTAGAAATCCGAGAGAGGATCATAAAAGGTGCAACTTTTTCTAATTCATGCACCCTTGACAAAAAGAATTCAAATATATGTTGAAAGATCGGATCTTATAGAAGTTCCCGTTATTGGTCCTATTCGCATGATTTGAGCTCCCCTCTTTGATCCCAGACCTCTCCTATGGATTCTCTTCCTGAAATCGAAATTTAACTTCAATTTGTATTTATAGACAAAGAGTACCTTGGTATTGTCATTGGAAGAGATGGAGGGGAGCTTGGCTCTCGGAGGAAGTCCGCAAGATTCTGGTCATTGTCACTAGTGTACGCCATCGAGGTGGTAATCGGTTTCGACTTCCATAATTTATTTGAGGAAACTGGTTAACCCTCTCTATTCTTACCCACAAGCCCAAAATTCAAGTTCTGACTAAATTCCAATCACTCTCTTATCCACCATCACTTTGCCTCACCGCTGCCTTACCCTCCCACACCGAGCTCTGTTCCCATCCCTTCACAGTGAAAATAAAAATATGAATGAATGGCAAACTCAAGAAATGCAAAGGCAACAAAAGTGCGAACAGTAAGGTCAAATTTCTGCACACTACTTTCCAGAAAACATCACCAGACCCTTTAACTTAGAAAGTATGGAGAAAAAGTAATGGGAAACGTATAGCTGAGGGTAGAAAAGGAAAACAAAATTCTTACCTATTCTTCTTTTATACAACTATGTAATATAGTCCAGATATCACCCCTACAAAACATATGTAGGTCATCAGCATATTAAATCCGATTCAATTACGATAACTGACATTCTGGGGTGAAACTTAAACTCTCCACTGCCTTCAAGCTCTTTCAAACACATGGATAGATACTCCATTGCGAAGGGGCTAACAGGGTCTCCTTGTCTAGTACCCCTTCGGCCAGGAAAATATCCACATGTCTCACCATTCAAAGCAACAGAGTAGAAAGCACCTCCTATGCAAAGCATTATCCAGTTTATATATCTTGTAGGAAATCCAAATCAATCCTTATCCTGTTTATATATGTTACAGGAAATCCAAATCAATCTAATACTGATCGAAAAAAATCCCAGCTAAAAGCACATTCGAACTCAAATTTTTTCTACCATAATTTTTGACAATTTCCTAAGCAAAGTATATCATGCAATATACTTCTTCCTTTGATAAATGGCCCTTGATTTAAATCATCAATCGCAGCTATCACCTTCTACAATCTTGCAGTAAGGATGTTTGAGATGCACTTATGTTTGATATCATTCAGCAGTTTTTTTATATTTCTGGATACATAGAGCCTTAATATCATAGCTGTACTAAAATAGTTTTAGTGGCTCAATATCATAGATACATACCTGTAATATAGTAGTTACTATTGCCCATTTTTAAATTTACACATAATATCCCTTACTTTTTTCAGGTGTCTTTTTTCAGCTGATTGTGCTATTGTGCTATCCTTTCCTATGTAAGAAACTCCCTACTTTGATTTTTTCCCCCTATCAGGCCTTGTGAATATTAACTGTTTATCTACTTTGGTTTTTCCTTTTAGCACAACCTTTGCTGAGATAATTCAAAAGAAATATCATATAGGAACCAAGACATCTGCCTATCTTGTTGGACTTATGTCTTCAATGCTGTCATTTCTTTATGAAATTTTCGATGAGGAGTCGACTGCTGTGATTCTAATCGATTCTATTGCTGTTGCTGTCGTGACGTGCTTTATTTTCATTCTCATGATATATGGTCGTGATTGTTTCGTGTAAGTATATTTCCATATTTGGAATATATTCCCAAGTTTTTGCATTTCAATTTGTTAATTTCTTTTTTTAGGGAGATGTTTTGTTGGCTGTTGGTTTGGAGGTGGTAATATTTTTGATCGTACGCTCCTCTATATTCTTTGGGTCAGGTCCTGGTTTAGGTTCATATTCTCTTTTATAAAAAAGACACCTGAAAAAAGTAAGGGATATTATGTGTAAATTTAAAAATGGGCAATAGTAACTACTATATTACAGGTATGTATCTATGATATTGAGCCACTAAAACTATTTTAGTACAGCTATGATATTAAGGCTCTATGTATCCAGAAATATAAAAAAACTGCTGAATGATATCAAACATAAGTGCATCTCAAACATCCTTACTGCAAGATTGTAGAAGGTGATAGCTGCGATTGATGATTTAAATCAAGGGCCATTTATCAAAGGAAGAAGTATATTGCATGATATACTTTGCTTAGGAAATTGTCCAAAATTATGGTAGAAAAAATTTGAGTTCGAATGTGCTTTTAGCTGGGATTTTTTTCGATCAGTATTAGATTGATTTGGATTTCCTGTAACATATATAAACAGGATAAGGATTGATTTGGATTTCCTACAAGATATATAAACTGGATAATGCTTTGCATAGGAGGTGCTTTCTACTCTATTGCTTTGAATGGTGAGACATGTGGATATTTTCCTGGCCGAAGGGGGTACTAGACAAGGAGACCCTGTTAGCCCCTTCGCAATGGAGTATCTATCCATGTGTTTGAAAGAGCTTGAAGGCAGTGGAGAGTTTAAGTTTCACCCCAGAATGTCAGTTATCGTAATTGAATCGGATTTAATATGCTGATGACCTACATATGTTTTGTAGGGGTGATATCTGGACTATATTACATAGTTGTATAAAAGAAGAATAGGTAAGAATTTTGTTTTCCTTTTCTACCCTCAGCTATACGTTTCCCATTACTTTTTCTCCATACTTTCTAAGTTAAAGGGTCTGGTGATGTTTTCTGGAAAGTAGTGTGCAGAAATTTGACCTTACTGTTCGCACTTTTGTTGCCTTTGCATTTCTTGAGTTTGCCATTCATTCATATTTTTATTTTCACTGTGAAGGGATGGGAACAGAGCTCGGTGTGGGAGGGTAAGGCAGCGGTGAGGCAAAGTGATGGTGGATAAGAGAGTGATTGGAATTTAGTCAGAACTTGAATTTTGGGCTTGTGGGTAAGAATAGAGAGGGTTAACCAGTTTCCTCAAATAAATTATGGAAGTCGAAACCGATTACCACCTCGATGGCGTACACTAGTGACAATGACCAGAATCTTGCGGACTTCCTCCGAGAGCCAAGCTCCCCTCCATCTCTTCCAATGACAATACCAAGGTACTCTCTGTCTATAAATACAAATTGAAGTTAAATTTCGATTTCAGGAAGAGAATCCATAGGAGAGGTCTGGGATCAAAGAGGGGAGCTCAAATCATGCGAATAGGACCAATAACGGGAACTTCTATAAGATCCGATCTTTCAACATATATTTGAATTCTTTTTGTCAAGGGTGCATGAATTAGAAAAAGTTGCACCTTTTATGATCCTCTCTCGGATTTCTAAAGTTTGGTTCAATGTTACATTAAACGTTGGGCGCTTCTAGGCGTCGGACTTGGCGCCCAGCGCTTAGTCGCCTAGGCGGACGCCTAAGCGGTTTCTGGGCGTTTTTTTTCTTTCTTTATTTAAGTGGTGGTCGATGAGCTTTTGCTGAAGGTCGGAGGAGGTAGTGGAGATGTTCATATTTGAAGGTTAATGGAGTTTGGAGGACGTGTAGGCTACGGCACATAAAATCACAATCAAGACCTACAAGATGCAATCTACGTAAGCAGACAATGCTCCCCTAAATGCTTGTAAAATCTAGGTGGGCAGCCTAAATACCGCCTAGGCGCTAGGCGCTAGTTAGGCGGCCTAGGTACCGCCTAGGTCTAGGCGTACGCCTAAGCGGACTAGGCGGAGGTTTTTTAAAACAGTGGTTTGGTTATAAGTTTTATTTCCTTTGTTTGCAGGTTTTCATCATATACTCTTTACTCCATTGGTATATGAACTTTTTGACCTCCGATGAGCACATGATTATAAGAAAGAAAATTGCATTTTCAAAAAATTTAGGCTGTTACTGATGGCCTGTGCTACCCGGGTACTTCTATCTTGAAGCCATACCCGTTCTGACATGTACATGTACCCGTACCCGTACCCACAACCAAACTCCTTGGACACTCCTTGCATATATGCATACATTTATTTGAGCATGTACTCAATTAAATGATACGTGTTTTAATTAAGAACACTTGTTAAACATTTACTGGTTATAAATCCTACGCTTCACATTCACTTTTTGAAGCTCATTGGTTCCAAACTATGATCTTAATGATTATTTGGGTGTCTAGTTAAAAAAGTGGTTGTTGCAACCTATGACCGACATAGTTGAAGAAACATAGAAATGTTATAAGACTTTTAATTCTAGTAACACGTGAATAAAAGAATATTGATCTCATATAAACTATTAATTGCAAAATTATATGTGTGTGTGTAAATATTTACATAGCCGTGTCTTTGTACCCTTTCTTTTGCAAATCTGCCGTGTCCCATACCACATCCATATTTGCACCGTATCTGTACCCATACCCCTTGCAACATAGCTGATGTCTTATGTCTGTCAAAATGTTTGATGTAACATTTCTCAAATGATAACCTGTGGAAGTTAGATTTCTTACTTTTTAAATAAAATTGTTAACATTAGATTTTAATGGATATTAGCATTCCCCAAATTTCATCAGATATTCGAAGAATTAATACACTTATCTTTATTTTAGAATACGCAAAACCAATGGGGGAAGCCACAATAATATGATTAGAAGAAGTGTTATATTCAGGTGATTTATATCAAAAAGGAAATGATATATGGTCGTGATTGTTTCGTGTAAGTATATTTCCTTTTTATCTATATATTCCCAAGTTTTTGCATTTCAATTTGTTAATTTCTTTTTTTAGGGAGATGTTTTGTTGGCTGTTGGTTTGGAGGTGGTAATATTTTTGATCGTACGCTCCTCTATATTCTTTGGGTCAGGTCCTGGTTTAGGTTCATATTCTCTTTTATCACTACTGCATTAGTCTCTGGTATTGATATTGATATATGGTCTCAAGTTGTAAGTGTATTTGTCAATGCTTTTATGTTTCAATTTTACTCATGATATATGCACGTAATTTGTAAGTGTATTTTGTTATGCATACTTATATTTGCATTGATATTTTGTTCTTTTGTAGCTTTTACGAGAAAGTATGTTTCAAGGTGTCTCCCTAGAATTTTATGAGATGTTTTAAGTATCAGTTACATTATGTAATAATGTCTGTTGGATAACATATAACATTCTTTTGGCTAGTTTTATGATTGGACATTCATTGTGGGTGGCGGAGTTGTTTGCACTTTATGTGCTATTAACCTCATTCTCAGTTTTGAATTATCGAGGTATATTTATGAACAAAAACTTCTATTTAGAATGCTATTTTTTGTGCTCTTTTTTTTAATAATTCAAAATCTTCTAATGCTCTCTAATGTTTGAAAAACTTTCAAAGTTCCGATTTGTCTGTTTCAGGGGGAAGATAGGTTCATCTGGGTATATGAAGTTCTTGTTTTTCTCCGAGCTCAGGCTTAATGTTACAGAGTGTATTATCAGACATGCATACATGTGTAACTTAAGCCTGAGCTCGGAGAAAAACAAGAACTTCATATGCCTAGATGAACATATCTTCCCCCTCAAACAGACAAATCAGAACTTTGAAAGTTTTTCAAACATTAGAGAGCATTAGGAGATTTTGAATTATTAACAAAAAGAGCAAAAAAATAGCATTCTAAACATAAGTTTTTGTTCATAAATATACCTCGATAATTTGAAACTGAGAATGAGGTTAATAGCGCATAAAGTGCAAACAACTCCGTCACCCACAATGAATGTCCAGTCATATAAACTAGTCAAGAGAATGGTATACGCTATCCAACAGACATTGTTACATAATGTAACTGATACTTGGAATATCTCATAAAATTCCAAGGGGACACCTTGAAACATACTTTCTCGTAAAAGTTACAAAAGAACAAAATATCAATGTAAATATAAGTATGCACAACAAAACACACTTATAAATTGCGCGCAGATATCATGAGTAAAATTGAAACATAAGATCATGGACAAATACACTTACAACTTGAGACCATATATCAATACCAGAGACTACTGCCGCAATGATAAAAGAGAATATGAACCAGGACCTGACCCAAAAGAATATAAAGGATTAACAACTGTAGATGCTTCTTTAATAAAAGAGTACTCCTCACTTCTCACTTCAGATTAAGCTTGAAGATTGGCTTGTAGTTTTTGCTATTGTTTGTGCTTTCTTCTTAAAAGCACAACTTGTAAGAGATAACTGTGTTTTAGACAATTTCTGGTTGGCTTTCATTTAGCTGATTTCTGAAGGTGAAGGGTGTGCATCATACTTGAATCAATTTGAAAATGGTCTTACTGCTCAAACAATAACTGTCCTCTTTATGCAGTTTCTGTAGAGGACAAGTATAATTGCTGTACAATTTTCCCCCCTTCAAATTGCAGCACAATTTTTGCCCCCTTTAAATTGCAGCAAATGAGGTTATTGGTCCATGCAATCTTAGCCTCATTGAAGCGAAGCCATATATGTTTTAGCATAATGCCTAACCAATGACAATAGAGGAGTATTAATTGCGATATTACTTGGCAAATTGTAATAAGTCGTTATCTTTATCCTCCATGCTGACTATGGTTAAAATTTTAATAGTCCTTGATTAAAGGACTTTGTTCCAGTAATTGGAGGTTGATGGCTAAGCGTCCGAGATTACCTTTTTTTAAATAAAAAAATTAATCACGGCCTAGCGAGTACCATGTGGATCACAGTGGTAACATTGTGGAGAAATATTTGTTTAAGATTTACTAGCAAGTACCACGTGCGGATGCATGTGCTAGCATCAAACTTATTTATTGGCTTTGTTGATTGTTTCACATTAGCAATGAAGGGGGTATCGGATCCGGTTCAGATAGAGGTTTGTAAATATTATTGAGTGTGTCAACATGATGGCTTTTTTTTCTTTTTTTCTTTTTTTTTTTTTGGGTGCTGACACTTTTGATTGGGAGATGTATTTAGGTAATTACCCGTCTGTCTAAATCTAATTATGGTCTAGGGTTCTTAGCAATTAAGCTAACAGAATGACCAACATTAAATACCAAGATTTGAAGGACTAATATCAAAGCACTAATACCTAATGGAGAAAAACCCCGTATAATAATTCTAAGGCACGTGGCAATTTTATTTTCCAAGTAGGAATATAAGTCCCAAATTCATAAAGAATGCTATATATTTCCATGCAATGTATATAAGAATCTCTGCAATACCTAAAACTTGAGCACAAAGTACGCGGGGCTCTTCAAGGGCGATAGACACTATCTGAGGGCTTATTGTGGTGATGTTGGGATCTCATTAAACTATACCATGACGTGCACTGTCAGCACGGCTTACTAGGCAATCCTGACTCTTAACCTCATGTTAATTAGCAGATAGGTTGAGACTTCGTCGAAATAAATTATGTTTTGCTAGTTACTTTTTACAAGAATGGTTCTTAAGTATTTAAGAGTTTGTTATTCCCCGAGTATTATATCATGTAGTTTTTAAATTGTTATTTTGTTTTGTTTTTGTTTGGTGGCTGCTTGATAAGATTCTGAAAACATCAAGATAGCGGCGATGATCGTTGTTGCTGTGAGGTTCTGGATGTTTTCTGAGAAACTTTTGGTTTCGATAAAAAGTCTTGAGCATGGTAAACCTGGTAGTAGTGGTGCGTACAAATATTTTGGCCTTCCGAGTTCGTGTCAATATTTGAAACTTGATCTTGTTGTGCGTCTCAGGTTTAGTTCAAGCTCTTTTTTTCAACGTGAATAGAGTACGATTGTTTTGTGCCTGGTTTTTTATCCTTACCACCTCTAGTAAGGGGCTAGCTAGCGGGTGCTACTCCAACTAAATGATGTAGAGGTGGTGTGCTTACACCCGGCGATGCCCATTTCACGTGGTGGCAGCCTGGCAGGGTTCTTAATTCCAATATGATTAATTATACCTTGTTGCAACTCTCGGCTTAGTTAGACAGATCCATACTAATGGAGTCAGACTCTTCCTATCGGTCTAGCTACCTGCAAAGTCTGCATCGGAGTTGCCCTGTGCCCCTGATCTTAGCCTGAGTCTAGGACTTCGGTTCAGCTTGAGCATTCTTATAGTAGGTTTGTTCAGGTTACTTGTTTATAACTTTACAGTAGGTTGATTTGCATTTGACAACGTTTCCTCAGAACAGTTCGCGATAGTGTATCGATGATCAGTACGATTAAGTTAAAGTAGGAGCAAGAAGCATATATACAGTGGGGATGAGGTCGTGAAGCTGAAAGTACCGTCTCTTAGTTGGCTGAGTATGTCATCTGATTAGGTTTGTTTACAGTACGTCCTTTTAGTGTCAATAATGCTAGCATAAATTTTAGTTTAGTATTTGTTTTCTCATTTTCACGGCATGGGATAGAGCAGTTTTAGCTACATATCACTTCCTGGGACGCGATAGAGAAATCCCCTACCCATTGCATTTATGAACTAGAGAGTTTACATATAACGCAGGAGACATATAATTTACAGATCTTTGCACATAACCATTTGAAATCGTGCATAAAACTTAAAGACTAAGTAATTTGGGGATTGAACTGTGCTCACAGCTACCAAACATATGTTGGTTTTGGGAGTGTAGACCCAAACCTTAGAACCAGCATGCAAGGTAGAAATTTCGCTAAGTTAAGAAATCAGGCGAACTTGATAGATCAGACGAACTTGATAGTTTAGGCGAACTTGGAAGTTCAGGCGAAGCTCGAAGCTAAGTTCAGGTGAACTTGGATCACAGGCGAAGCTGAGTTCAGGCGAACCTCAATGCAGGCGAACTCCAAGTGCAGGTGAAATTTAAGTGCAGGCGAACTCTAAGTGTAGGCGAAGCTGTCCAGGCGAACTTGACTATGTTCAGGCGAACATAGGTCTTGCAGGCGAAGCTGTCCAGGTGAGCTACGCGATCAGGCGAACTCGCAGAAAAGACAGATTCCTAATCTGTTTTGACCTAGGGTTTCCCTATAAATAGGGAACCCTGACCGCCACTTCAATGATGATTTTTTCTAAGCGATTCCTGTAGCGATGTTTGGAGACAATTTTGCAGAGAGCCTTGAGCGGCGATTTTTCAGAGAAAAATCTCGCGCGTTCCTGTAGAGATTCTACAGTAGTGATTTTTTACAGAGAGATCTCACGAAGTTTGAGATCATATTTTGCAAGCATTGTAATCTTCTTTAATAATCAAAGAAATTCTAGTGTGGCTCCCAAAGACGTAGGCACGTTTGCCGAACCTCGTTAAAATTTGGAGTCCTCTTTTTTTTAAGTTTTTTTTTATTTGCTGTGATTTCTACATTTGACACAAGATCTAGAGGGCTCGCTGCGTGAAGGTTCATTGACAGGTTGTCGATAGGTCGAATCCCCAACAACTGGTATCAGAGCATCATTCAGATCTATGTGTAGGCTACGACAGAAGAAAGCAAATCAAAGATTGAGAAGTTTGATGGATCAGACTTCGCCTACTGGAAGTCACAAATGGAGGACTATCTGTACCAGAAGGATCTTTACAGTCCGTTGATGGGTAAAGCGAATGGAAAGAAGAAGGATGAGACCGACGAGGACTGGAAAATATTAGATCGGAAGGCTCTAGGGCGGATCCGATTGTCTCTCGCAAAATTAGTCACACACAATATATTAAAGGAGAAGATAACGATAGGTCTTATGAAAGCACTCGCAAAGATGTACGAGCAACGCTGCAAACAAGGTGCATCTCGTCAAAACGCTCTACAACCTCAAAATAGCAGAAGGATGTTCCTTCACGATGCATTTCAGTGAGTTCAACATGATTGTTGATCAACTTATCTCCGTCGACATCACGTTTGATGACGAAGTACATGGCTTATTGATTCTATCGTAGTTGCCAAATAGTTGGACAGGTTGTGTGATCGTAATTAGCAACTTGGTGGGTAAGGAGAAGTTAAAGTTGAGCGAGGTCGTTAGTATGATTCTATCCGAAGAGGTTAGAAGAAAATCGTTCGAATCAGAAGGTTCAGGTTCAGCCCTAAGTCTCGAGCAGAGAGGCCGAAGCAGTAATAAGACAGAGAGGCTGAAGCAGTAATAAGGGTAACCAGAATAGGAATCGATCAAAGTCGAAGAAGAGGAGGTCGAACTCGAAGGTGAGACCTATCAAAGAGAAATGTTAGAACTGTGGCCAGGAGGGATATATGTCTTCAGTCTATAAAGTACCAAAGAAGGATACAAATAAGCAGTAGGCTCATATTGTGCAAGATGCATTGATCATTGCTATGGATAGCGATTCTGATTCATGGTCATTGATTTGGGAGCCTTATTCCACGCCATTGCTAATAGGAAGCTTCTTCAGAACTATTTAGCTGGGGATTTTGGGAAAGTATACTTGGGGGGATAACAAGCCTTGCAATATTGTTAGAAGAGGTGACATGCATATATAGATGAAGGGTTCTAAGTGGAATCTGAAGCACGTCAGACATGTACCGAAGCTGAAGAGGAATCTTGTTTCGGTTAGTCAGCTTGGAGCAGAAGGCTATGTTACAACATTTACCGGGGATTTGTGGAAAATCTCCAACGGCACTATGGTGATTGCCCAAGGTAACAAAACAGGAACACTCTACCTAACTTCACATGCGAGTGACACCCTCGCAATTGCAGCTGGCAAGAAGAGTGCAGATCTGTAGCACAATAGGCTGAGACACATAAGTGAGAAGGGTATGAAGATTCTATACTCATAGGGAAAGCTAACCGACATCAATTCTGTTGAAGTTGGTGTTTGTGAACACTGCATCTACGGGAAGCAGAAAAGAGTCAGCTTTCAGAAGAGTGGAAGACCACCTAAAACTCACAAGCTAGAACTTGTTCATACAGATGTACGGAGCCCAGCTAGCGTGTCTTCTCTTGGCGGTTCGACGTACTATGTCATCTTTATCGACGATCTCTCAGGGTAGGTGTAGGTATACTTCATGAATCACAAGTCAGAGGTGTTTAGGATCTTCAAAAAGTGGAAAGCCATGATGGAGAACGAGATAGATCTGAATGTGAAGTGTTTGAGATCAGACAATGGTGGAGAATACGAGCTGGAGGAGTTTAAGAAGTTCTGTGTTCTGAATGTGATTCGTTTAAAGAGAACTACTCCAGAGACACCGTAACAGAACGGTGTTGCAGAGAGAATGTGTCACGCCCCGTTTCCCAAAATACCAGGGAATCAGAACGCGAACAAGTCCGCGACGTATTAGACTGAGGAGAAATAAGTACTAGACCCATTCTGCTCAATCTAATACGCTAAGCGTCAAGCAAATATAAAGTGAAGGCACAGGTCCCCGATCACAGATAGTGAGAATATAATGAACAACACAGAACACAAAATATACATATCACAACTGAATATCATCCCAGGCATAATATTCGGGTCAACATGCCCTTATACAAGACTATCTGAAAGAAATGCTAGAAAATATAAAATACACCGATCAACAGAATGGAAGGTGCTACTATACAAGACTATCTGAAAGAAATGCTAGAAAATATAAAATACACCGATCAACAGAATGGAAGGTGCTACAAAAGTAAATGAAGGACTAATAACTAAGCTTCGGCT